TGCAACGATACAGATGAGGGCATATTCAAGATAAGGCTGGACAGAGCTCTGAGCAACCTCACCTAGTTGAGGGTGTCCCTGCTTATTGCCTGAGGATTAGCCTAGATGATTTTTAATGGTCCATTCCAACCCAAACCGTTTTATAATTCTATGATTCTATATAAAATTGTATGATTGATAAACAATAATGTGGACCAACCCCATTGCAAATCTGATAAAGAAGGAGGGTATTACCTTACCTAGGTCAGAAATGAAAGTCAGTATTTTAGGTTAGTCAATGTTTTAGGTTACCCAAAGAAGTGGCTAATGCTCCACCCCTGGCAGCGTTCAAAGACAGGTTAGGTGGAGCCCTGGGTGACATTTTCTAGGATGAAGTGTCCCTGCCCATGGCAGAGGGGTTGGAACTAGGTGATCTTAAGGTCCTTTCGAACCCTAACTGTTCTGTGATTCTGTGATTTTCTCCTCTTTGATGCTTTCTACTCTGTTGTATTCGTGGCCTTTTCTTTTGTAATTCATATTTCTAACAGACCAGAGTTCAAGCAATTAAAACTATTAAAATAAGTCTTGTGGGTCAGGTTCCCTGTAAATGTTTAATGTTTTTCCCAAACCTCTTTTTTCCTGTGATGCTCTAGGCCATTCGTAGACCCATCATTAGTGAACTTCCTGAGTGATAACCATAAAGTATTCTTCTCCATTTTGAGACTTTATTAATATCTTGAGAGAAGAATAGAGCCTTTAGTTAATCGGTTGTGTTTTGGTTTTGGGAGAGAGGAACTAATGAAAAAATGCTAAGGTCTGGTGCAAGATTTTTTGTAGAAACCAAACAGCAGAGGAGCAAAGGGCAGGAGGGGTTGTCATCTGTAGCACTGACACATGACAGATTGACATTACACATATACTTGATACTTCAGGCCTGATTGATAGGCTTCTTTGCTTACTGCTATATGTTCAAAGGGGACACAGATGGGTTTCAGCTGGGATATGTGACAATCACTAAGTGGTCTCAACTCTCAGTTATTAAAGTGTCCCAAATAATACTGGTGTCATCTCACTGCTGTTTATAATCAGTCTTTTTCAGCATTAAACCAACCAGATTAATTTTTTAATAAGACAACCAACCTGGAAAAGAGATTGGCTAATGTAAATAACTTTATAATGCTATTCAGGTCAGAACCACCTCAAATTGAAGGCAATAGATACTCACCCTTTCCTTTCTCTTTTATTGCACCAGTGGGAGAATTTCAGTTATACCAAGAAACCAATCCTTTATTTCAGAAAAGAAATGCTGATAACAGTGGAAGCATAGCCTCCTGCTGCTAGCACTATGGGGAAATCAAGGATTTGCTGGAGGAAAGGAAGCATGCTTTAAAAATGCAGAGTTCAGGAGACTGAAGTTTCCAGTTTATTTCCTTGTGAAACTACAGAAAAACTGAAGTTGTAAGAGATCACTTCAACAAAAACACCCTACAAAGCAGAAGAGGCCACCTCCTGGAAGTGTCATTTCTTTTCTCATGTCTATACAGCACAAGAACCATGTGTATTTTAGCATTATCCTAGCATTGCTTCTTGAAAACAGCTTCTTTTCTCCTTGGACCCACATAGATCTGCATAAGTTCCTGAACTTAAGTCTGCACAGAATTAGGTATTTGTTAACCCCCATTACTGCTGCTGGCACTATTAATGGCATATTTCCATTAGTGACTGTTGTGCTTCCTTCCATGAGCTTACATTCACAATTAAACTGGAAATATCCATTAATTTTTCACAAGGAACTAAAAATGATAATTGGATTTTATTAAAATAAATCAGTGACAGCTTTTAATGCAAATGCATGGGTAACATCAAAGACACTGAAGAGCTGCTGAAAGAAATAATAATAAAACAGTGGATCAGTCTCACAAGATTCAGCTGGCAACTTTTCCCCAGCCAGAGGGCCTGTTCTATTAAAACACGGCAAGTACTTAGCAGAAAAAGAATAAAGAGAATTTTCAAGAAGTGATTGCCAGATCAATACCACAAGAAGTTACTGAGTTTGATAAAGAAATGAGACATCAAGTGTGGAGGGATTACACAGTTCACTGTCCTCTGTAATTATCAGAGAGGACAAAACATGCTACAGGGGGATACAAACCAGGGTAGCTTGCAGGCAGAGGAGTGCTGCGGTTGCAGTTTAACGTTCAGATCCTCACGTTATACCCAGAGTAAGATATCCTAATATCCCACATGATGAACAGAAAAGTCTACAAAATAATGAAAGGAAGGATAAAGGAGATAAAATATCAGAAAGCTGCAGGTAAAGACCAAGCCCCCAGAGAGATGTTAAACATTTCTGATGATGAGCTTATCATACAAGACTCACGAGTATAAGCCAATGCCAGCTGACATTTACTGGTATTTACATGCTTTACTGAGCTTTCTGATCTCAGACTCCAAAATCTAATTCTTTGCACACTTTGTGTCTTTCATCTTTTCTTATTTTTCTATTTCTCTTTTCTAGTGATTCCCATTCTACCCAGTAACTAATCCATTTTATAAACCTGCATAAAGTATAGATAGGTACTTAAAGAAGAATAAAAGAGAAAACAAAATAAAAAAGACGTGGATATTGTGCACTTTGATTTCAGAAAGGCTTTTGACATTACCTCTCATAAGATTCCTGTAAAGAAGTTGATGGTGCATGCTCAGGACCACCAAAGGCTGCCACTTTTAGAAAGCCAGATGAATGGTCAGGTTCAGAGAGAAGGTGTTTGGTAATCAGTGGCACAAATTCTAGTTGGAGCGAAGTAACCAGCAGTGTGCCCCATGAGTCAGTACTGGGTCCAGTCCTATTCAATTAATGATATAAAGGGTGGGGGAGAGTTTATCCTCAGCAAAAACACAAGGGATAAAAACATCAGGACTAGCAAGCTTTACAAGTTCAGATTAGGGACAGTGAGGAGGACTGAAAACTAGCTGAATTGTTTGTCTTAAAGGGTTGGGATCACAAGCACAAAATCTACCTGGAGGCCAGTTACTAGTGGTGTACCCTGGGGATCAATACTGAGCCAATAACTGATTCACAAATTACCTGAATGATGGGGCAGAATGTACCCTCAGCAACTGCGCAGATGACACAAAACTAGGAGGAGTGGCTGATGTACCCATAAGTAATGTTGCCATTCAGAGGGACCTCAACATGGTGATGAAATGGGGTGACAGGAAACTCATGAAGTCCAACAAAGGGAAACATCGAGTCCTGCACCTGGTTAGGAGTAACCTCATACACCAGGACAGGTTGGGTGCTGACCAGCAGCAGTGGGTCCTTCCTGATCATGCGCTGACCACCAGTCAGTGTTGCACACTTTCAACAAAGAAGGCAAGAAATGTCCTTAGCTCCAGTAGGAATAATATTCCCAGCAGATCAAGGGAGGTAACCTTCCTCTCTACTCAGCTCTGACAAGACAGCATCGGGAGTGCTGAATCCAGTTCTAGGCTCCCCAGTCCAAGACAGACATGGACATATTGGAGAGAGTCTAGTGAAGTGCCACAAAAATTATTAAGAGAAGGCCCCAGTGTTCTTACCTGTATGTGTATATATAAATGTGTGCACATATATATATAAAAAGTGTGTGTGTGTGTATATATATATGTGATGGGAGGGAATGAAGAAGAGGAATTCAGACTCTTCTTGGGTGTGCCCAGTGACAGGACAATGGCCATAAATACATACAGAAAATTCCTTTTAGACATAACAAAAAGCTTTTTCACCATGAGGGTTTTGGAGCATTGGCACACCTTAGTCAGAAAGGTTGTGAAGTCTTCATCCTTGGAGATATTCAAAACCCAAAACCCAGGCAAAGCCCTTAGTAAATACCTTTAGTTAATCCTGCTTTGAGCAAAAACGTTGGACTAGACCATACCCAAAGTCTCTTCCAACCTCAGTGATTCTGTGACTCAAAAGATAAACACTGCACACTGATTTTCAGAACTAGGAAATTTTCATGTGATGTAAAGCACAAAGAGATGAAGGTGACTTCCACATTGCTCTTACTTACATAATACTCATAAACATTTGCTTTGATAAACTATTTTAAAACTCAGGATTACCTATTTATACTGTGTTGCAACTACTCTTGTTTTAGCCCATCAATACTGTTTTTCAATTTTCAGTTTGTTTGGAACTTCAAAAGCAGAGAACATTCTGCTTATTTCAGACCTGCTCAGATAAGTATATATCACTATTACCAGGGAACTCTATGAAAATAAAGAAATAGTCCTGTGGCTAAAAAGAGATTGTATGTTTTTTCCAACAAACACCCTTATAAGCTTGCCCTGCAGTTAAACTGCTATAGCAAACAGTAATAGTCTATTCACATCTATTATAAAAGGAGTATCACCTGCGGTTTTATTGACTGTCAGAAAACAGGTCTTATTTTGTGAAACAATAAAAATCAAATATAGTGTAAAATCTCCCAAGGTTGTAGCCTGTAACCTTGTAACATCAGAAATGACAGTAGTCAGCTTTTCTTTTTTTTTTTTTTGCCTTTTTTATTTCATACTCCAAAAAAAATAGGGATTATATTCCAGAGCAGGGAGTGTTGCACCCGTCAACATACTATCATCCAGAGATACAGCAAAGGTATCAGAAAATGCCTTCAATTTGTGTCTTTTCTGGATAAAAAGTCATGAGATACTTTTCAGAGGTAAAGGATCTGTTAGGAGGGCAGTGACTTTCAGCTGTGCCTCACAGCATGTCTGCTGCAGGAAATACAAGAATAAACTCTGTGGTCTTAGAAAAGAGGCAGCTTCTTCCAGCCAGGTCCTTTTCCTCAGCACTTGGAAAAGGAGTTGTCCATGGACTATGTGGGATAATGCATATATTAGGTACCTATATCCAGTTTCAGCGACTGCATCATTCTTCAGTTTTTGGGCAGAGGCAAAACTCACACTGAGATCATGCTCTTCAGGAACGTTTTCCACCAATGTCTTCATTAAGACAACTTTAAAAATGTGCTACCCACCTTTGCCTTCAAACTCCAGTTTTCACTGAAGGGAAATTCATGTGGATAGGCTGCATAGAGATGGGCCTTTCTATCAGTCTTTCTAGGTATCCTTACTCAGTTGCCTGATGTGAATATCTGAAAGTCTTTTTCAATGTTTAAAGAGAAGAAATCATAGAATAAATCTTAGGCTGCGCCAATACACAAGCATGTGAACCAGAATATATTTGTCAGCTTTTTTTGTTGAAGATATTTTCACCTGAGAAACAAAGGATGCTGAAAGATTTTCAAAAATAGCCTGTACTCAGACATCTAAGTGGCCTAATATTTCACACTAAGTACTTGGTAGCTCCATTCATTTCAACTCTCAACTTTACATGCATGCTGAAGTTACATAAAAGCTCCCTAAAATTCTGAAGTAAACAACACGCAGTAAGGCACATTAGTAGATCATTTTCTGGTATCATACGTAGCCATGCTTCAAGGACCTTTTGAAAATAGGAAATTGCATGCATCATGTAAGAAAGAAAGTTACATTAGAAAAAAATGGGTTGTATTTACTTTGCTGATCTACTGCTTTGTGTTTTTAAAGAGACTGAGAATCTTATCAGTAAAGGAAGGATTACTTAAAAAAGGAATGCCAACTCAGAATCAAATATTTAACAAATAGCTAACTTGATTTGTTAACAAATAATGTACCTGAAGTTAGACTAACACTGACATTTGGAATAGGCTTCACAGACTTCACACTGCTGATTGGAAGATAAGAATTTGTACATGAAAACATACACACAAAACATTCCTAGGCTTCACCAAACACAGGTGAAGGAACAACAGGGGAATAAAAATTCAGACTCTCCATATGCTTTCCTTCAGTGTCCATTCTGGAACAGGAATAAGCCTACTTTTCCCTCATTCAATACAGTGTTGGACTCAGAACATTTTAAGATGCAGTAGAAGTTTGACTCTGAATTAGTTTAAATATGGGTTGATGATTTAAACACGTAGTCAAGGTCACTTAGCTAGTCCAAAAATGCCCATCAGGAGCTCTTGTGTGCTTTTCAGAACAGGCATGTTCCACTGCAGGCCTCCTGTCAAGCCCCAGTAAGAGCTGCAAGGGACCTTGGCCAGGAAACCAAATGAACATAACTTGAAGACACATTCACTTGATTCAAGCTGTGGGTAAAGAAGGCTATTCAGTTTCAGGTCTGTCCAATTATCAGTTTGGGTATTCTTTTTCAGCCCAGTATGAGTTCAGATTTGAGTCTCAGTCAAGTAAATAGCTGCCTCAAAGAGCAGCAGAACAAGGTATCTTCATTAAAACTTAGCTAGATAGTTTGAGTGCTTGGCAAGAAAAAAAATGAAAGCAGGGAAAGTAAATGAGGAGCTCAGTCTAAGAGCTCACTTTCATCTAGCCAATGTAATGTAAATCTTTTCTATTGTGCACTTTAAGATGTAAATTGGATTCAAGTTGATGTCCACCTGTCTTGAACCAGCAGGGATATCTTCCTGCCTCTATCAAAGCATCTTTCTGCCAATTATTGCTTGCTGTGACAGTTGGAGATTTTTCATGTATGTGCAGACAAACTCATTAATATTAGCTCTTTCACCTTCTGATTCCAAGAAAAAATGTAATTTTGGAAACTATCAGGACTCAAGTGATCTGTATCATCTAATTGCAACCTAAAAGATCTAGATGATTATGAGAAAGAAGGCTTATTTTCTTGGTATTTTCTATTTTTAAAAATGTGCTATTTTTAACAGGAGAAACAATTATGTTAATACAGAAAGATACTTTTATTGTTTACTCACTGGAAACAGACAGATAGCTCACTATTCATTAAAGCAGATTTTATTTAATAGCAGCAAGCTGAGACTTCCTGATTCATTTAAGTAAGTTCTCTGCCACTCCACAGAAAAATAGACATTCATTAGAAAAACTTTACAGAGCTCACATACTAGAATTCATTGCATCATTAAAAAAAGTTCAGATCAAGTTGCTGCAATCTCTGAGTTGTTTAAAAACCCAAACTTTCATTTCAGTGATCACAAAACAAATGATAAAACTACCATTTGTTTAACAGTGAGAAGGAAAAAAAGGAAACCTTTTTCTTTTTTTCTTTTGTCTTTTTCTTGTGGGCCTAAGGAATTTTGCAGCAGTTCAGCTTTAAAAGTTGCACTTATTTTTCATTTCTCCACAGGTTAAATTATTCTTTTGAAAAATCTTGGTATGAGCAACATTCATGCCAATTTTTGGCTAATGTTCTGTGTCTAACTCAATCACTAGGGATGGGCACAAGACACAACTTTGGCTACCAAGGTCTCAGAAACAGTTTTCCAATGTGTTTACGTAGACACATTGGGTGCATGTGCAATACGTGTATGACATAATAGTTATATTTATGATGAATTTCAGCTGTTACCTTAATTTTTTTCCCTCAGTAGCAATGAACACATTGCCTGATATATTGATTTGCTATAGATTATGCGTAAATTTTTTAAGTGCTCACCACCTCTGAAAAAATTCCAGAGAGACCACAAGTAAAAGCCACCCTTTTGAACTCTTTCAGGAGAAAATATATGTCTGAAAACTGTTGACAGGCCGGAAAAGGTGCAAGTATTAAGGAAAACCTGAGGGAGTTGTTGGTACTTGTAAGCATGAAAGTTGAAGAGGAACGGTTTTCAGGGTCTAGAATGCCTCTCTCTGGGTTTACACCATGATGAGTGGTACATACATGTTTATTTAAGGAGAGAAGTGATTTAGAAAACCTCCTCAGAAAGTACAGCACTTCCTCCTTATTTAATTTGGCCTTGCAATTCAAATAGTGCAATATGATGCCCCCAAAATATTTGGAAACAGCAGACAACACGCAAAACATACTTGTCAGAAAAACATGTAGAGTGATCTTTCTACCCTCTTTATATTTGAGTTGCTTGCACCCATGGTTTTTTTACATTGTTTATGTTTGGGGTGTTGGGGGTTTGGTTTCAGGACATGTTTTTCTCTCTCAAAACATAAAAAATGGCTACCAGATCACTAGAAATTACTATTGTAGATAAATTTTTGTGAAGATGAAAAGTTGCCAATAATGACGTTGACAAGCATATCAGGCACATTTCAAGTTCCCGGCACATCTTGGCACCCACCACGTGCCCCCTTGTCATAGCACCTCGACCTTGCTCCTTAGAGTATTTCTGTAGTTTCTTTCTCACCATGGACTTCCACTGGATCATGAAATAAAAGGTTCTCTGCAAAACATTAAGAATGATGGAAGGAAGCCTTGGTGGCTCAGGAAGAGTCACCATGAGATGTGCCTCTCCACAGAGAAGCAGTACCACCCACAGGCTGGCATACCTGGAGCTGGGAGCCAGGCTCAGAAGAATCAAAAGCACTGGCAGACCACTGTAGGGGAGCAAGCAAACAGAAAACAAAACAGGCGTGATCCAGGAACCACCACTTTTCCATCTCTAAGGATCTGGACAGCCTAGTTTCTTGGACCGTATTATCAACTACATCATCAACTGCATCATGCTCATGTGGAGGCCATACCCAGGGCAGGACTATTCTGTAAATGAACTCATTCACTGTGTGACAGGGACTTACTAGGAGCCATCATAACATGGACAGATACACAGTATCTTATACAGTAGAAGTTAGATAATTTGAAAGTTGTTAAGATGTGAAACAGGCATTTTTCCTTATGTATCATATTTGTTCTCGGATTCATGACCTTACCTTGAAAAATATGTGCTAAATAAAGAAAATGAAATTAAATCTAACTGAACTAAGCCTTTCCTTCTACACTAACAAAACAGTTACACAGCTCATCTGCAGTTATATACTGTACTATCTGCATTAGACTCCCCCCAATGACCATATGATATTATTTTTAGTTATATAAACTCTGGTACTTACGTCTTCTTTCACTCAGACAGAATGGAAAAGTAAATCCTAATCCTCTATAAAAGGGAGATCAAATTAAAAGGGTTAATTTGAAGACAGGGTAGAGACACTCAAGATTAAAGAACAATCACAAACACCTTCAATATAGAAGTCATTTGAAACCATCCTCCAGAAAGGCTGAGTGGGAAGCTCTAGGGCAGAAGATTAGAGATCAAAGAAAATTCTCCTGAGTACCATCGCACAGTGCTCCAGATCCAGCAAAGCACTGAAGCATATATTAGATACAGTAGAGGAACTGTAAATTTTAACCAAGGACCAAGCTTTTATAAAGCAAGGAGAAATCATTAAAAGCTTTTGTTTGTAAGACAGGTATTGGCATAGAAAAATTAAATTATTTTTCCCATCTGAAACATTCCCAACATTCTTACAAAACAGATTATAATTCTGTTTCTCTCTCCATACTTTGTCTTTCAGAGGCCATCTACTCTAAGCTTTGCAACATGGCAGTATACAGTTATTTTCAAAGCAGAGCAAAGCTAGATCTCTACAGCAGAACAAAAATGAGACAAAAATGTGTTAATCGTTAAAGTCTTTAAATATATATCCATATACGTATGTCTTTAGTGTATATGTATGCATATGTATATATAAATGTACATACATACAAAGGTATAGTTATATCCAGTTATGATATGGCTGTATAGATATGTGTCTATAAAATGATAAAAAATTATAAAACAAAGAGAACAATTAAATATTTTACCAGTATATTCTGCACCTCACAGAAACAGAAACTGCAAAACATCTTCATGTACGAATGCTACACACTGACAAAACAAGCTTGAGAGAGGGGGCTCAGCTAGGACAAGAGCCCAACATACATAAGTGCTCCTCACGGCAACAAGTTACATTCATGCTGCTGCTACCAGAGCAACCTGATCATCTGGATGTCACAGACATTAGGAAGGGTTTGTTGGGTTTTTTTTTAATTAAATCCTACAAAGGGATAAAGAATGCAGCCATAGAATCTTTCACAGTAACACAGCTGAGATGCTCTGCCTCTTCCTGTGCTTTTTCTGCTAGTGTGCAGAGAATACAGGGTAAAATCTTCTTGCCAGAAACAGCCAGACCATTTTAAAACACCAGTCTATTTATTCTTGTTTCTTACAGTTTTCATATTTTCTTCTTTCACAGCAAGTAGTCCTAAGGGATTTGGTAGAATATGCACATCCTCCTAAAAGATGATAATGCTGCTGTGAGGCAACTACGTGACTGTTTTATATCCTACAGTATAGACAGTCTTATTCTGTGGACATTTTTAGCTTACTTTTCACAATGAGGGTGTTAGATTTGCTCTTTGCTGCTGCAAACTTGAGATTTTTGACCCAGTAGTAGTTTGGAGCATGTAAAGCTTTTGCCGAGAACAAACAGAGGATCATGGAGGGTGCAAGGATTACAGTCCATAAATGCCATAAGTGTTCTGAGTGCAGTTTACTGATGGTTAGACAGGACTTCCCCCTTGTAAACTGCACTAGGGCTACTGAGCAACCTAATTGCCACTAAGAATAAAACAATATTCCTTGCCAGTACCCACTGCTTTTGCGAGCACAAAGTAAACTTGAAATGAAGGTCAAGTCATTAATAATGTTTCCAAGTCAAATTTGTGCAATGGCTGCAAAGCAGCTTGAGCCAAGACATTTTAGGAATGTCTGAAGATCACTACTGGAGCAAGCAGAATTTCGTTTTTCACTCTTCTTTTTAATCCCAGGGATCCCAGGGACCCCAAGGATCCCAAGCAAAAGTCCTCAAAAAGCCCTTCATTAGCTGTTCTGCTGGCATGCAGAATAAGTTTGGATTTTGATTGGTTCTCAAGGTTCTTTATTTTAATCCTTTCTGATATTTTGCCTGATAAATGATTGATAAGAAAAATGATCCTTTTAAGGCCAGTCACTGTTGCTTCTTACCTTTCTTCAAAAACTTCCAGTAATATGCTATCATTTTTTTTATTTATCCCACTTACTCAAGCATGCTACCAAACTTATCTATGTAAAGGGGTGTGGGGGGGTCTATATGTTTTGAGAAGCATATACTGTTGGACCAGTGCTGACACTTAACTACAAAATGCATACAGAAAGCCATGTAGTAGTAGGATGTAGTGAAAAAGTGGTGTAGTGTCCAAATGGTTAAAGCATTGGGTTTTTAAGGTGACAGCTGAAAAATACATACACAGAAAACTGCAGGATACTTTTCCCAAAAAGTGAAGGGCTGAGTCAGTCATGAAAGGATCTGAGGATCTGGCATTAGGGACCCTCAGGTCTTTGAAACCATAAGATTAGACCACTGTGTCGCTCTTTGGAGCAGAAAAGAGACTAAATAGTGAAGCAACCATTCCAAGCACCAGCACATCTTTGCCTAGAAAAGGAAAACATATCAACCCACTGAGTAAAATTTCTCTGAATAAAAATGAAGAAATATTTTAAAAGTAAAAAAGGCAGTCGTAGAGTAGACTTACATAATTTGGAGTGGAAGAATCCTCCTGAGGTTTCCTGGTCCTTCCCTCAGCCAAAACAGGTCCAAACTCAGAGAGAAACTGAGATGCTCAGGGTCTTGGTCATAAGCAGCCTTGTTCAATTACAACAGATTGCAGTAGTGTAAAGAAGATTACTGTGAAAGATCATATTTTCCTACGCAATGTAACTGAAGGAATTTCTCGTGCTGAAATCATTTCTGATTGAGAACAATTTGGGAGTACATTGGCTGCATGGCAGAACTACAGAAAACAGGCAACAGGAGGATTGCTATCAGTCATATTGCTGTAGCACCTTTTGATATATTTCATGGGACATCCCAAGCACAATCATAGTATAAAAACTTAATTCCTGTCTGTCGTGGTTTAAACCCAGTCAGGTAGCTTGTTCACTCACTCCCAGTGAGTGGTGCCGAGCTGACAACAATTCCGTGTCTGCCTCCCCGCACCGGGGCTCTCCCCTTCCCCGCTCCCGGAGGAACGGGGAGGAGGATCGAGAGAGTGCAACTCCTACGGGTTGAGACAAAAACAGTCCAGCAACAAATCACCACCGCTACTATCAGCTACAACAATGATAAGGGAAAATAACAAGGGAAGAGAATACGATACCACCGGCCAAGAGAAACGAGCTCCACCCGGAAGCCCGACCAAGCTCTGACCGATACCTCCTCCAACCCTGCAGACTCCCAGCCCTTCCAGCTAACTCCCAGTTACATCCTGGGCATGACGTGCTGTGGTATGGAATACCTCTTTGACTAAGTTGGGTCAGGTGTCCTGTCTCTGCTTCCCCCTGGCTCCCCCTCCTCCCTGGCAGAGCATGAGGCTCACAAAGTCCTTGGCCAAACCAAAACATCCTTCTTATCAGCTCTGTTCCCGAGCTGAAAGTCAAAACACTGCACTACACCAGCTACCAAGAAGGGGAAAAATGACTGCTACTGCTGAACCCAGGACACTGTCCCACAGAGCCTAACATCTGCACATTAGATGAGATACAGCAGATAAGGATGGACAGATTAGGGAAATAACAGTGAGACAGAGTATTGGCATCATGACAGGCAAGAATCACAGCAAACTGGGAGTTTGTCCTGTTGTTGATCTTTTTTTTTTTTTGGTAGATATCAGTGCATCTTCAACTTTTTACAAGAGATTTGAGCAAGGACAGTGATTTGCACAGGTTTATAAAGTTCCCTTCTTACCGGCATCCCAGCAAGGTTTTTCTTTCAAGGACTCTAGAAATATTTGAAGGATATAATCTCTTTCTTACGGAACAAAATTTTCCATTATTAAAAAAAAAATAAAAAATCAAGACCAGTATTGCTGTACAGCTTATTCTAGAATCTGAGTTCTTTATGTAAGAAAATGCTTAAAGCCTCCCCTGTCCAGAACATGAAAATTACATCTCTGATGGACCTTTCTTATTTCTATGCATATTTGCTCATACTATCACAAAAAGAGCTTCCCTCTGTCAGCTGGTCTGTAGTCAAGACTGGCTCAGGAGGGAAGTAGGTAAGTGATAGATGGAGTGGTCACAAATTCATTAGTTTTGAGGCAGCTTCTCATTTTATAAATCATGAAATCAGCTGTCAATACCTCAATTTCATCAGAATCAAATTGGCTAACTGGAAAAGAGAAAAATGAAATCAGTTTTTAGTTTTTCTCTAGCAATGACTTTTAGTCATGCTTTGAGATTTTAGAGGAGCTTTCAATAGGAGTTTATGCTGCAGCTTCTAAAAGGACCACTAAAGAGACCTGTGGTTAATGATCCTTGTACTGGATCCTCACCATGTACCTTGATTTTTAGAGTGCTGAAACAGTAAAATCAGAAGACTCTCTGGGCAGTGCACTCTTCTGAAAATTGAACTACCTGAGTGAGAGTCCTGTAAGAACAAGGAATTTGTTGCAGAACCTACATCACTGCAGCTGAGGGACTCTCTCAGCATTCCTGGTTGCTGTATGTTACCAGGTTCAAATGTGGCATAAAAGCTACATACACAAACCAGATGAGAGCTGTAGCAAACTACAGAAGAGGCTACATCCAGAAAATTCCAGAGTAACAACTCTTTTTCTCAAGCAGTATATCTAAATATAACGAAGAGAATGCTCTTAAAAGATAAAAACAAAAACTAAAAAAGATAAATTCTTATAAGACACAGGAAGCAAAATGTTGGCTTTATTAATAAATAAAAAAAACGCTTCCAAGGTAATGTGTTCAGTTTAAGTACCATACTACAATAAAAACATAAACCAATTGGCAGGACTCCAATAGCAATGTCTGGAAAACATTTTTTATTAAAAAACAAACAAAAGCTAAATTGAAATTCTTCAAGTTTGTAGAGTGAAACACAAAGCAAGTTTACAACAGCCTTTCATTCTTAACAAAGTAACTGCAAAGGAAGGGAAAGACTTTATCTCCATATCTGGGAAAAAACACATCAAGAACAAGTACATTTATTCTGCAAGTACAAAAAAGAAAAGAGCTTTTTTAAGTTCAGAATAATAATATTTGGAACATAGCTAGCAATGGAAAACTGAATTTTCAGTCACTGAAGGTCCAAGAACAGTTTAGACATATCAGTAATGGGTTATGTATAGCTGATCCTGTCTAACAGGATGTGTTACAAGACTTTTTAAGGTCACCTCAAACCTTTGAATCCTGTGATTTTGATCACTATTTTGAGTTTGTTTCAGGCATAAACTTTTGGTTACCAAAAGTTACTTTCCCAACTTCCAGTTAAAATTGATCTTTGAGTAGTCCAAAGATACTTTCCACTGTCAATCATACAGCTCAGCATGACCACAATTTTACCTTTAAGAAACATCATATCATGCTGAATTCTACATTAGTTACTGTCCTACTTTCAAAGTTACTCTAATGCTTGTTCTTTACAGTTTTCTATTTCTGCAGGTTAAGGTTACATTGATTTTAATTCACATTTGAGGTTGGAGCTCTTTCCTTACAGAACTAAAACCGCTTGGTTTACCAGCTTGATTGCCAAGTGGAGTTCTCAATTTGTATTTTCCTGCAGTAACAGCATTATTTTAAAATACAGGACAAGGATTTTAAGAAACTGCAACCATTAGTTGCTAAAAGACACTTTGCATATGACTTTGTCCACCACATTACTAGACAAGATCTTCTATTGAAAGAACTACCACTACTGATACAAACAATGCTCTTGATTGCTTTTTTACTTTATGATAAAAATGGCTTTAGAAAGTTTGATGGAGTTGAGAACCTGGATTTGAAGAAACTGAGAGCTTTTTTAGACTAAAAGTTTAACTCCCCTGCAATATCCTCCATAGGCCCTATTTACCATTAGTCACTATCTCCCTGGTACCTTCTGACAGACTTAGGCCTTTTTAAACTGCATCATATTACAGGAAAAGAGAAGAAAGTTGAGTCTTTAGAGCATTCTGTAGTTGAAAGTTGCAACTAAATGTTTCAAGTCCTGCAGTTTTTATCTCTGAGTACAAGTAACATGATGTTTCTGGAGCAAGCAAGTTAGTTAGTTCTGGTGCAGAGGACTAGTTTGTTCTGGTATCACCCAGAAGGTTGTTTTAAAAGTTCTTTGTGGCTGGACCTATGACTTGCACATGTTTTATTGGGGTTCAAGGGAAGAAAATAAGCTTGCTAACAAATTAAGCTGTAGCTACTTCAGAGTTATGTGGCAATTCAACAAATAGTTTTGTTGAATAAATTTTGTAGGGTTCCATTTAAAATTTATGAAATTCATCTTTCTGACTGAAAGGTACAGCCCCTAAATCATTCCTTACACATGGGATGCCCAGATGAAAGCTCATCGCTGCTGCAGAGTTAAACTATGTTAGAGGGAAACACAGAGTTTTCCATGTTATAATAATAATAAAATGTTCTCACTTCCTGTTGTTGACCTTCTCTCACTGTATTCACACAAATGGGATTTTTAAATTTGCAGGAAATTAGACTTGAGAGGTCCACTTAATTAGAAGGGGTAAAAGTGACTGAATTATACTATCATTTTGTTGTTAGGAGGAAGTTTTATTTAACTGAGAAATGGGGAAGAAATATAATAACACATTTGACATCGATGTATAGACCTAGAACTGTTTTAAAATGAGATCTTTTTTGTAAGCCAACAGGTTCAGTTGCAATAAAATAATAATCTGTTACTGCTAATGTAGAACTGACATAATTTAAAATAATAATTAATTATATAAAAATTTAAATAACAATAAATAATAATTTAAATAATTTATATAAGGAATCAAACTTGATATGCTAATGTAGTAAATATTTTAGAATTCATTTCAGAAATTCAGGGGGCATTAATATGCAAGTAAAATAAGAGACAAAGGTGGGTACTGGTGCCTCTTTGGAAATTTTTTCCAGGGACAAGCTTTAGAACTTTCTCTGCTATTTGCCAGCCATGTAATACTCTATATTCTTATAGCTCTGTATGGTGTCTGGGATTATGATGATGTAAACCCATACGTACAACAAGAAGAGAGCAAAATGAAATTCTTAGATTTGTATGGAATATTTTGTATTAAATAAATAAAAGGGTTATTTCAACAAAATAAAGTAATTCTAAAAACAATTCAAAGCAATCTGCAGTAACCTAGTATTTGGGCTTTTTTTTTGCTTTATTTCCTGTTTGACAACCAGGTGGAAAAATGTGTTATTTGCACAGGCCCACCTGGTGACAGTAATTCTCCGTAGTCACAGGAAAAGAAAATTAAAAATTAAAATTCCAGTTCCGTTCTAGTGTGCCCACAATTCCTCTTTGCACAACAATGCAAGAAGTAGTCCAGCTAAGCAGTACAGCATGGGAAAATGAAGGTTTTCATAGTAAGGAACAATGCAGACTTTTTCTTTTACACAATTTTCTGTGACTTATCAGCTAAGATGTCTAGCTGATGCTTGGCTATGGCAGAGACTGAAACACCAGATAACATCAGCAAGTCAGATACACTTCTTTGCCATACCACTAACAAAATTTCTGACAACTTCCATTTTCCTAAATACAGATGTTTTGGAAAAAGAATAAAGAAACAATTATTTTTTTTCTTTAGACTCACATTTTATATCTTCTGCCCTGCCTTTGATAGGTTTTTTTATTCTTCTGAGTATCTGATGCTTAATCCTGATATAAACACCATTCAGTGAGAAGCAACAATTTCCAATTTAGTTCTTACCTCTTCCGAATCTACGCCGCTAGACAAAATTTAGTCTTTTAGATAATTTCAATTCAAAAGAGAAATTGGTCTTGGATATTGAATGCAACAGCATTTGTACTTCCCCCTTCCCACACCTCAGAAAATTACAATAGCCTACCTTCTTAAACATAGCAGACATAGGTCTAGAAGAGATTGTTTTCTTGCTCACAGCTATGAGCTTGTTTTAGCCAGCATCAATCAAATTAATGAAGAGTGATAAATGACATATTTTGAGATGCCCTTCTGTCTTAGTGTTTTCATGTGCTGCTTTTCCCAACTTGGCCCACTCTTTTCAAGGAACACCTGTAAAAGCCACATTGTCAGGAGTTCTCTATTCCTGAGCAACTTGATAGTTCCCTATCATTTTTAGTAAAATGAGAAGGAAGTACTTGATGGACTATTACAGCTATATTAAATGAAGACTGGTACTTAAAACTCCAAGCTCTGCACCATTAAAAAGTAAACTATCTGTGGGAAATTGTCTCTCTGCAGTAACAGTTCCCATATTTATCGCACAGTTTGGATACATCATTCCAGCACATCTGATTCCATCTCTGAAAAGAAAGAGATTGTTGTCGCCTATGGAGGAGTTTAAGCAGCACCTTAAATAGTGGGGACAGTTTAACTGCTTACAAGAAATCTGAAGAGGGACTTTTTACAAGGGCACATAGGGGTAGGACAAGGGGGAATGACTTTAAGCTGAAAGAAGGGAGATTTAGCTTAGATGTTAGGAAAAAAAATCTTCACTATGAGGTTGCACAGGTCGCCCATAGAAGTTGTGGCTGCCCCATCCCTGGCAGTGTTCAATGCCAGGTTGAATGGGGCTTTGAGCAACCTGGTCTAGTGAAAGGTATCCCTGCCCATGGCAGGAGGGTTGGAACTGGATGGTCTTTAAGGTTCCCTCACACCCAAGCCATTCTATGATTACATTGGTGCCCTACTTGTCGATACCATGATGGGTACCCAGAGAAGGGTAAAAACAGCCATAGCACCACCAGCCCTACATGAAGCATCCGGATTGCACTGATTTCCCAGTTAATTCTTCCAGGAAGAAAAGTACACCCAGCACTATTAGAATAAACCATAATTTTTTCAAGGAAGGAGAACTATGAACCAAACCCCTGACCAAAACACAGCCACCAAAGTACCGCCTTACAATGAACTCTCATATAATGACCAGAAGTACAGGCTCTTCACTGATAGTTTCTGTAGACTCCAACAACAGAGACAGAGGAGAACAGGAAAACACAGGGCCAGTCAGTGTGCCAAGGGAAACAGTTGCAGTCCCAGCTGCAACTAGAGGCTTAGATTGGGAGCATAACAGAGAACTTGGTTTAGTTCATCTGTGTATGATGTGTAGTGCCAACATGCTGATCATCTGCAAGCTGATGGAAAATGATCATGGGAAGAACTTGAATTTCCTGTGCAAGCTTTAAGATTTCCCTAATCATAGCCTTCCCTGCTAGATTATCTGCCACCCTTTTATCCACTTACAAAGTTTGTCAAGACTTTTTGGCATCCCTGGCCAATGACTTGGTTTTTAACCACCTGGAAGAGTGGAACTAGCTGCAGGCTTGCAGATTTCACAGTGCAGTGGTTTCTTTAGATCACTGAAGCTGAATGAAGCTTTAACCGTCATCGGTCTCTAGGGGACATGACTGCTGACTTGATCTTGAAAAGTGTTCATTAAGCCTTGTTTGGATTCATATTTTTTAAGCTGCAAAAGTATTCTTTTTTTCCTCTAGTCCTGTGGCAACTTTTTATTTTAATAGTAAAAGGCTGATAAAAAATGCATATGAATTATGTCTGCTGGATTTCTTTTATTAGCATGCCTATTGATGCACTCAAAGAATATTCACTGTGCCATTTTAAGAACTTCTGGCATGCCCACATTGGGACTGCTAAGCTGAGTTCTGGTCTCTGCATCTGGGGAAGGACATAGGAGCTGGAGAAGGTGCAGAGAAGGGCAACTAGATGATCAAGGGGCTAGAGAGAAAGGTTGGAACTCTTCAGTATGGGGCTGAAGAAGCCTTAGGGAATCATGAAGGCAATGGAAAAGCTGAACACAGAACTGTTGTTCACTAAATCTTGCTATCATCTGAGA